ATAGTCTTCATTAAAGATTGTGATGCGTGTATAGCCAGTGGTCTAGGAAAAAGTGATGTCTGCCGCAGTGACTCGATGAAGACGAAATAAAACGCTGCTTATTCTGTGTGAATTTCATGAACTAAAACGCTATTAAGTAATAAAAATTTTCCAAATTTATTTTATTCCTTTGTTAATTCAATAAAATATATTCTATCAAAACAATGAGTTTATACCTTCAATGGAAAACATCTAAAATTTTAAGTCTGTTATATGTTTCGCTTGAACTTCCAAAATATCATAAAGAAGAGAGTTGCGTATGAGTAGGTGTGACTATCAATGTATTCTTTACAAATTACATCAAACAACCAAGCTAAATAATAGGAAATCTGCTTAGATTGTCCTCATGCGAATCACTTACTCACTAGACAGCCAAAACTGAAATGAGGTGGGTATATATGTATAGGCAAAGAGAAGATCCGCACATACTCACCTACACTCCATATCCAAACTCCCAGCCACACTCTTTAAGGCAAATCAATTGCATTGAAGTTTATTTAGAGCAAGTATGGTGTAGAGATAAGAAGTAACTATAAAAATGAAACAACAAAATGAATCGATCAGAAAAAAAAGCTAATTTATAACGAAAAAAATTCAACAAATGTCTCAAGAATAAAGATTTGCGGCACCAAGTTTTTCTTTTTATGCTGATCCCGGTATAGTCTTGGTCTAGAGAAAACTATTCCAGGTTTTAATCGTGTTACATCTAAAAAAATTTTTCAATACTCATTTTCTGATGTATGTCGTCAACTACCAACACTTTTCAAGTCATCTCTCTTGAGTTAGTTTCATAGTTTCGATTCCGTTGACTGGGACTCAAACTAAAAGTTGGTCTCACACATCTTTGTTCAACAGTGAACATAGTTTCAAGTTTTGGCGAAAGGCTTTCGCTATGACTGTCTCACAGACATTGACATCGAGTAATTTCTTTGTTTAATAATGAAAATTCGTAGACCTTTTATTTTTATTTTTTTGTCTTATTTGTTGTCGAATGTTGTAATCTTGAAAATGATTAAAACTATTCATTGAAAATTCAAAATATACTCTGAAAAGAGAGTCGGAAGATGCAATGAAGTTTCACCTTTTGCGAGACTTCATGATCTTTTACTTGAAACTTTATAAATTGAGAATATTAGCAAATGAATTTCACTTATATTAAATGATCATCGTTCATTACACTGTTGATATTATATTACTCTTGATTATTCGAATTGATATTGTCCGAGTCATCTGACACATTTGGGACACTTTCATCATTGCTTGTTGTAAAATAATATTGTCGTATATATGAAAATGGTTCGTTTTATCTTGAAACAATGTATTAAAAGAAAGTATCACTTTCGAAACGACATCGTATGATTGGTTAAAGTATATTGTTCTAAATAGTAATAAAGCTCATTTTCGAGAAAAATGAAGATGATGATATCTATTTTTTATTTTATGAACAACAAAAAAACTTCTTACAAAACGAAATATTTTGTTAAGCGTCAAAGAAACAGAAAAACATCAAAAATAAAATCGATAGGCGCCAGAGAAATATAATAGTGGCCGACTCGTTCTTGGTTGTTGTGAGAAACAACATTCGTCTGGTCATCATGCAATGAAGGAAATGTTTTCTTTCGCTACTTGTAATTTCTCATCAAGTCTTCTCATTACAACATTTGTACAGAAAGTACCTTCAAAGTCTAAAAGAGAAGCTATATTGCACTACATACCGCACTTATTATCATTCTATTCCGTAATTTCAGCCGTTGCTAATGTGACTGCTTTATTGCCACCATTGTATAATAAAACATTGAAAATTTCACTTGCGTTTTGAGAACTACTATTACTGGATCTTTTCATAGTATCAAACAGCTGATGAAAACCTTTGTTGATTATGATCATACTTTTTATCTATTTGTTTAAAGTAATATGTATTTAAAAAGATATTTTACTTTTATCATCTTCTTTCCATTATCTTGAGAATCGGTAATAGCTTGGTGATCACCATTCATGATAAGATTCTAAGTTCAGCGAGGATGAGAATAAATATTTCGCTTTTGTTCTGATGCATACATATTCATGGTTTGACATAGTCTAAACTAAGTGAATCATTTCCTCTAGATTTGTTTTGTTTCTTGCAATGCCTTTTCAATTGTGATGCTTGGACTTTATCAATATTCGTTAAAAAAAATAAAACTAATCAGTCAGCATAAATACTGATTTAACATTAGTTTTTTGTCACCGTAATTGATCCATATTATTATGAATTTTTACATCGATTCCGAGTATATTGTCGAATCGTTTGTAATATTGTTGTGGAAACGGCATAGCATCTTTTTTGAAAAATGGTTTATATCTTCTCTCTTGGTGCTAAAGAAATTTCCTGCGCCCTCTATAGCTTAGTTGAGGCGGATTACATGTACCACTGTCTCTAATATAACAGCAAGTAAATAATGTACATTGAATGAATACAGTATAGTGTTATTTACTAAGTATTAATTGTAGCGACAAACTGAATCGAGTAGTCTGCCGTCACTCCCGGTAACGATGTTTATTTATCTACTTCACACAAAACACACGCTTATATAGGAGAGAGCAAGAGAGAGATAAACACAAAGAAAGATAATAGAGATAATATATACAGAGGAAAGAAAGATCGGAGAGAGATGATATCAATATCAGCACATATATAACGTCGTATTATTTTATGAATGTGTAAATAAATAATAAATTTAGTTGAGTTCAATTCAAGCAAGAAAAGAAATAGTTAAAATAGAAACCTCGGACACTAATATTAAAATCTGATCAAAATGAAGTAATTCATTTCATACATGAGATAAATTTTAATGTCTAAATACATGTTTTGCCTTTGAATTGTTGATACTGAATATATCTGTATAAAACGGTATACTAACCTCGTTGATAAATATGACTCGTAACATTTGAAGAGTTAAAGATTGTCCTTGCATCTACATGTATATTTGAAAAATCGTGTTTTTACCACTTACAGTCTTAACTAAAAGTAAGTTTACGATCATTTGATTGAATTTCAGCTTGTTTCAAAGCATTTTTCATTGAATTAAGCATGTACGAGTTGCACTTACTTATTGAACAAGTAAATGGAATGTTTCAGAATAATTTTAATGATGAATCGGGTGTCTTTTGTTTGGTAGCCTCCTACCAAAACTCACAAACGATGAACTCTCATTTAAGACACCTTCCTTAAACATCAATTGTGAGCCAAAATCAATGAAGCTTGATGCAACTTTCAGGATATGTTAGGACTGGCGTGGAGAACTTATGGTAAGATTTTCAGTCTAATCTCATGGCGTTTTCGGTAGATATTCAGCTAACAAGGGTCAAGAACAGTCCGCTTGGCAATCCGAATTTTTTGATGGATCTTCGTTTTATCAACTTGTTTTTTTTGCTTGAAAGTGCATGCCAGAATAGGTGGTCATAACAGAGCCCTTTTTTCAAATTCTTACGTTTCAAGGCAAAAAATATTCGATGAAAAGTTCGACGTTTCGAAAAACTCACAAAAAATGATGCTCTAACTATAAAAGTATCAAAGTTTAATTCGAAACAGAAGCCCTGTCATGCTCTGTGTCTTGACAAGTTCTTTCACACAAAAAGAGCTATCGCCTATAAGGAAGCACCTTTGAGAACTTTGCGATGCGCGATTGAAAACCTGTAAAATAAGAACAAAAGAAAAAGATTTTCGTCATTTATGAGAGATCAGATAAAGAGTTTTCTTTCCTTGTATTTAACTTTAATTTCGATTATTTTGATGAAAAGTAACTTTTTTGGGGTGGAGGTGTTAAATACACACTGTACTGTTAGAGTAAGTTTTCATGCAAAAAATCCTGAATTATGTCACGTACTTAAGTATCTCGATTATAATCAAAGGAAATATGCAGTAAATATGCTTTGTCTTCATACGAAAAAGGCACATTTCTTTTAATCTGATGATGTGATGAGTTATTTTCTTTAGTGATTATTTCAATTCAGTATGTTACTTGTTTGATCAATTATTAGAATGGAAAGAACATTGCCATAATTTTATGTAAATTATGTGTCAAGATATGAATATGAGATTGATTTTTGTATATTGATTAGCTGTTCGTCAAAATAGTCCAGTTAATTTGATGTCTAACTGCTCATCATAAGTAGCTACACAATCGAAATGTTACAATCCATTACAGGAAATCTAACGATGTCAGACTAACAGAAATAACACTTTTGTCCACCAAGACATTTTACTAACATTTTGCTTATGTGAGAGAACCTTGTCTGTAGATACTACATGGATTTCTAGTGGAAACTCTAAAACGATTTCAGGTTCCTATTGAGACTAGATAGAGCTGTTGAATGTAGTTTTGAAACTACCTCCAGCCAGAGGTCTCACATACAGCAACTTGTTTGAGCACTTTGTACTCCCAAGTTATAAAATTTTTGAAAATATTCTTATATATTATTCATTACGCTTCGAAAAGCATCTATTTTTGTAAAATTCATAGCTTGAAAAAAAAATGAAATCTTCGGACTCTGAATCTGTTCAGACAAAACTAGTGTCTGTGAGATGTTTATATGAAAATACTTTCAAGACAAATTTCAAAAATATGATTTTTCTGAAAAACTAAAGTATGACTGGTATCCATGAAAACTAGACATATTAAAAATTTGATAGTTCTTTCAAGTGCCAATAGGCAACAAAATTATTGTTTTCTCGTACTTTTGTTGAATTTCAAATTGTTCAATACATGATAATCGTTTGAATTATTTTCTTTTGTTCATGGTTATATACATATACGTGTATATATATATATATATTCGTTTAGGTTTTTTTTTCTTAAAGAAGACGACAGTACTACAAAAGAGAAAAAAGAAGAAAAAGAATCTGGCTATTTCAGGAAACAAATAGCACAGATACATATAATGATATATAATTCAATGTACAGACAAAAACAAAAGTTTATTTAATATGATGAAGGTATTATCGTAATTGAATTTGTTTTACCCATTCGCCGTTTTCCTTGATAAACAATCTTTCCTGATGCAACCATATCAATTGCTTTTGGATATAATTGTTGTTCAAGTGTACGTATACGATTTTCTAATTGAATTTCAGTCTCAATTGGTGTTACCGAAATACTTTCTTGTGCAATAATTGGTCCATCATTATCAGTATCGGATTCACCAATAAAATGAACCGTAACACCAGTTATACGAACACCAGCTTGTAATGCATCACGAATTGGTGATGTACTATGACGAAATGATGGTAATAATGATGGATATATATTTAATAAACGACCACGCCATGCCATTATAAATGAAGGTGATAACCGACATGCATACCGATCAAGTATAACTAATTCACATCCATGTAATTGTAATTCATCATCAACTTTTTGATCCTTAAAAACAAAAGCTATTAGTATAATTCTTGCGAAATTAAAATGTGAAATACAATGTAATTGTTATTGCTAATTACAAAAAGACTGTTTTATTTTACGATACATTCCTTCATCATTCTTTTACTGAATTCTCCAGAAATGCAATAAGGAACTAGTTCATATATTATAATGAGACGTTATTGATATACGATCTTTGATCGTATGTCAATAATTCCTATCAGACTTTCAAAAGAACTATTAGATTATGTTTCACAAAAAAAGAAAAGCTTTATTTTTTCTTTTTTGAACAAAAGAAATCAAATTATTTACTAGATCATAATGTCGTGCAGCATATTTTTTTGGTTGAATAACTTTTGTAACAACTGATGGATATAATTCATTAACACGAGCTATATCTGATAGACTAGCTAATGTTGAAAGAACAAGAACAATTTCAAATGCACATTCAAGTGTTGATGTACTATATGCAAGAAGTGAAAGTAATGAAGTATCTAAACCAAAAAAACAATACAACAATAATAAATTCATAAATGAAACAAAAAAACAATTTATAATTTTTTTTACCATTTGTTGAAATAAGTACAGCACAACGTGTTTTATCATTAGCTATTGGTTGTTTCATACGATCTTTGATAACAATTGGTAATGTATTATTTGTAAGAGCAGTAGCTGTTTGATATGGTTTTGGATATTTAAAAGAAATATTTTTTAATTGAATAGTACGTGGTCGTGGTGGAATTACAATAGGCTGTTGTGGTAAACGAATTGGTTTACGTATTGGACTTGTATCTTAAAAAAATTAGTAAATTTTTTATTATTTTTAAATAAATTTAAGAGAAAAAAAAAGTAATGATTACTTATTGATATGAATGTTCCAAGATAATAACTTGATGTATGTGTTTCAGTTAACTGACGTAGAATATCATCAATATTTGTTTTTGTATGATCAACAAGAAGTAAATAATCAACACCACAATTGAAATATTCGAACATTTCATCCTGACTAAAACCACTCTAGAAAAAAGAAAAAGAATAATATTTGAAAAGGAAAAAAAACACCTTTATAAATTCGTCTTTTTTTTTCTTACATGTTGATAAATCCAAGTAAAAAGAGGTGGTATTACAGGCCATTGTTGTCCATTTAATTCAACATTTAACGTTGATGATAATGAACCAAGTAATGATTCAATCATACGTGCTAGACCAATGTCTAAAAATAAGTTTGAAGACATTAATATGACGTAAAACAAAAGTGATTTTGCTAAAGCAAACTTATGAATGGATTTGAAACCATTATTGAAAATATATACAAAAAAATTTATGCTATTGAAAATAAGACAATGCATAAAAATTTTCCGAACAATTATTTAGAAACTTTAACAGATAAATGAAATAATTTTCATTGAAAAACAAGAAGATTTCAATACCTCATTATTATATTTGTTAATTGAAAAAACTCCATGAAAAACAAATATTGTATTCTCATGATGATTATTATGTTGCAAATATGATTCAATTTCATGAGTGAGTCTTCAAAAAGAAGAATATTAGAGTTCGTACGGATTCGAACAAAATAGTCAGCGTAAGTTTTAAGTCGAGGACTACTCTTTTTTTAGAGTTTCTTAGAAATAGAAACACGCGCTGAGCACTATCACCAACAAAACTTGGACTATTATTTTTGTGCAAATTTATATTCAACATCTCAAGTATAATAGATAGCTATGCATTGATGTGCTACAGTCGTCTTCTTACTAAGGAATTTATGTAACGGGGTTAATTATCATTTAAATCAATGGTTAAAAATAATAATAATGTTAAATTAAGAAAAACACAATGTGAAAATTCTATTTGAAATATGTGAGTTCCATATTTTAGACCTAAAAGAGCTGCGTGGACAAGCTTTTGCACTAGGAAATATATTACTGAAAAAGAAATCAGAACGAATATGTTTTTTTTATTTGATTAGTACTAAAAACAACTGATAAATGTCATAGTTAATCAATTTATGTATCACTATAGAAACTATTAGAATATCTGATACTTTTATGATGAATAAATAATCTTTTTGAAGAAATTTATTTATGAAATTTTTGATTTCTTTATAATCAATAACATACCTTTAAGATATCTTACAGATTTAATTGTACGATTTTTAATAAGTTCAGCAATAGTTTTCGATAATGATGGAGCTAATATGGATGATTTTTGAAGTAATAATGAAAAAAATGATTCTTCTTCACCATCAACAGTTCGAAATGGTACTGTATCATTTAAATGAATATTTTTCTTTTGAAATAAATCTTTTATTTGTATATAACCTTGTGTATTAACGGTACTTGAACTACATCGTAGTGCAATTAATAAATCACCTTCATTTATTATTGGATGATTTGTATTATTATATATAATTAATTCTCGTTCACATAAACCTGTACATAATGAACTAAATAATGATGGTGATGTTGTTATTGTTGTTGTTTTAAGTAGTGTACAATCAAGTTGTTGACATGCTTGTTCAATACCTTGATAAAAACGTTGAATTGAACGTCGAGATGATAATGGTAATGAACAACATTGAACATATAGTGTACGAGCACATATAAGATCATTAGCACAACGAACAGTTAATTCATGACCAAGATATTCAAATACAGTTTGACTATCATTCATATCACCATCATTCAAATTAAATAACTAAAAGGATAAAATGCCGTTAGCACATTACATATAGGATTAAAATGTGAAACACGATGTAACTGTTATTTGCTAATCACAAGATCTCTTACTTAATATGTCAGAAATGCAAAAAAAGGAAGTGGTTAATAGATTATAACGAATCGCTATTGATATATGATCTTTCATCGTATATAGGTCATTCCACTTAGAACCGGACATATTCGAGTAAAAAGTATAGTCATTGTATCGTTCGTTAAAAGTAAATTTAATAGTTACAGTTTCAGCGATTATAGATGATTAGGGCTTATAAGTGTATTCTTTCATTGAAAGACGTGTCGAGTTAACGATAAATGATAGAAATACGAAAATGATGATATAGTCAAACAGCTTTTGAAATATAATCTATTTCTGTTTGTTATTTTCGTATATCAGTCAGTCGTAGTTTATAATTACTTCAAAAAATGTCGTTCTACTCTTTATTAGTAAAATTTAATTTTATCTCAAATGAAGAAAGGTTTTCACTTAACTTGTTGGAATATTACTCACCTGTATCAGCTAGAGAAAAAGATCGAATCTGTGAGCTGCAAACGATATAGTTTTTATTCAGTTATAGGTATTTTTCTTTTCGGGACACAATGAAACTATGATTTTGCTCTTCACTCATTCATCTTTAATTTGACTTTTAATTCTTTACAAGGATTTCTTTTTTGAATAATTTCTTGAAACATAAGCATATCTAAAAATGTTGACTTTCTCAGCTGACTACTAATTGAAAAGTAATTTAGCAAATAGTTCTCTAATTATCCGAGAACGAAAAATTCAAAAACGCCAGAATAGACTCTTCGACACGAACTGTGTCTACGGTGAGAGTTTTCAGCAAGAATGAATTTCGAAAAATCTCCTCTAAAAAGTCGATTTTTTGAAATGTATATTTGTATCTTCGTACGATGTTTCTAAAGAATCTGGCATAAACTGTGGTGAGTATTAGTTTTTACTCTATATATCTTAATAGTCCTTTTGAATCGTGTTTCACATAATAAACAATTGATTATTTTAAAAAAATATTTGTAAGTTTCTTACGGCCGCTAATGGATTTAAATTAATTGTTGATGATACAAGAACAGGTTGTTGATAACTTTTCAGATCAACTTTCGTAGTGAGGTCAAAATAGAATTCACCTTCATGCATATTAAGATCATCAAAATTTCCATTATTTTGATGAATATCCATATGTTCTAATTTTGGTACATCAGATATTGAACCAAATGCACGTTCAAAATCCATTGGCTCATTTTCATCATCATCATCATCATCTTCGTCATCATCTGTTGTTTCAATCTGTTCATTTTCGTTGTCTTTTTCTTGTTCGGAACTTTTTGTATTTCGACGACGAGTTGCTAAACCACGACGTTGATTGCCAATTGTGATAATAGATTTTTTCTTTTTCATTTTCTTCTTTTTACCATTAGTTAAACCACCGGAGAGTGAATGATGATGATGATCAGCATGAGTTTTATACCTTAAAAAATAAACTTTTCTATAGTAACAAGTAATAGTTATTCTAGAATATATTCGCATCACATCTAACAAAATTCTTCAATATTCGTTTTTCTGTTTTATTTAGTCGACAGCTGATACGTTTACAGTAATATCTCTTGAAGTATGTTCGAATTGATATGATAAGATAACTTCTAAACTTTACTTTCGATTAGTGTTACTGTTTTCTCGTAGCCCAGGTTTATTCTTTGCATCTTCTCATTACTATGAATTAGTAGAAGCCGAATTTCGTATTCTTTGTGAATATGAGTTCATGAATGTTCTGTCTGTTTTTGCTTGTGATTAGCACGTATCGCAGCGTCTATCAGAATTCTAGCGAAAGCGTCATTCAAACAAGGACGTCCCTCATGTTTATCTATCATACATAATATTGAAAAATCGTTGGTTTTTCATATATCACATTCATGAAAAGACTTATGCGATTGACAGAAACATGTGTGTTTAACATTTCAACTTAATTTTAAAATTTCAGAAAAACTTCTTCATTACTCTGAAGCAAACACTTTAATTCCTATCCAGAGTATTTTATCCTTGTAGAATATTTTCAAAAAAATCAATAATGAAAGAAGAAACCATTACTTTTTAGCTATGACGGACTATAGGAGCCTGCCTCATGTGCAGATTCAATAGAAGGATAACTACACCTTCAGAAAACTTTATCCTATTTAAGAAAACAATAAAATATAGTCATGATCCATTAGAGCATAGGACAAATTATAATAATGTTATCCTTAGTAATCTATAGATTAATTTCAATAGTCATTGTTTTTTTTTTTTTGTTAGAAAAAAAATAATTTTTCTTACCATTCAATAGCTTCAGTTCCAACATCAGATTTAAATAATAGATCATCAATATTAGCATGTTGTTTAATATATTCACATGCAAGTACAGATTGTACTTGTGCTTCTTGTAATGTTGAACCATAACCAAGTACATTAAAAATTCTTTCACCATTTGTTGTTATAGTATTTGTTTCACTTGTACCATTATTATTAACATTAACATCTGTTTGATTATGAAATATTTTAACTTTATTATTTTTAGTTGCTGTTAATAAAATTTTATTTGGTATATTTAATGATTTTTTTGTTGATGTTATTGTTGTATTAACACAATGAACACGACGTTTTTTACTTGTTAATGGTAAAATTGGTACTGATGATAAATCAAGTGCATATTGAAGAAATATATCTGGTTCACATAATGATAAAAGTATTTCAGCTTCGGGTTCTTCAAATGTTGATAAATAATCAAGTAAATAAATTTCATTATAATTTATTCCTTGTATAAGTAAACGAAAACCAAATAAATGTCGTATTGTTGGTGAACATCGAAGTGTACGTTCAACAATACGACGACGTATATAAGATAATTGTTTTGATGTTAAATATGGACATGGACCATATGCACCCATACGTAATGGATCTGTTTGTATTATAGGTAATTGTGTATAATCACCATCACCATCACTGACTATATATAGAATACATATTTGATTATTTTCAATTGAATAACCATGTTCGACAATAATTGATTGATTTAATTTACCAAATATATGATCCTAATATATAAATAGATCTATGGATTACTTATCAAAATTGAAGATATATTCAAAATATAGACTAATCTCGAATATGAAATTAAAATCTAGATGTAATGTTTATGTTTCAAAATGATGTATAAATGTTAAGAATTTCATGTGAATTTGAAATGTTGCTCGTATGAAATGAGTTTTAAAGAGGACGTTAATTAAATGATTCACTCGTTTTACATACTTATATCTAAAACCATGCTATAAGTGAAGTCAAATAGTATGTAAACTAGAGAATCTAAATTTCGAGTATACATATTTCGTTTTTCTTTTTTTAATAATTACAAATTATCGTTTCAAAAAATAGTACAGAGAAAAACGAGATAACAAATGCAGTAATTTGTTTGACTAAAGTTTGAAAACTCTTCAAAACTACTTTTTAATGATCTATAAAAATTCTTTCAATAAATCTCTTATTTATTCTGTAGAGTCAAATAAGCTGTGATTACCTTGAAAAGACTTCGTAACCTTGCCTTAATGTGTACTATAATCTATTCTTATTAAAACTTGTTTCGATGTTAAATTCAAAGTTCAAATTCGGATATCAATTTTTCTGGTACACCATAGTAATAGCCTAAGTACACGAAGGTAGCCGTAGCTCATTTAGACTTATCTTATAACTATCGTCTATAGTCCCTTGGGTTGGTCTAGGATCAAACGAGCTTTAGTCGTCTAAGAAATATGTACAATGCACTTCTCACTAAATACTACAAATTGCAAAAAAAAAGTACCTCGTATTCTCAGGGCAATTGTTCAATTCCGATTAAAAACTTTCATTCCGATTATCAAAGTGTAGGTTGATCAGGTCCAAAAGTTGTGAATTCAACGAATTCTAACATAGATTCTAGACTATCCTTTCTCAAAAGACAATTTATTATATTTTTTTTTACCTCAAAAACAGCTTTAATAGTTTGTATTGTTTCTTCTCGAGTTTTACAATTAATTAAACCATTACCATTCGTTGCACGAATAACCCATTGTTCTTGATTAGGATATCTAATTTTAATTTAAAAAAAAAGAAAAGCAGCCAATTTATTACATTTTGTTTTTTTTTGTTTTCTTAATCTTACTTATTTAAAAAATTTTCTGCATCTTCTTCATTTAAACAATGTGTCCAATCTAATGTTGGAATTTTATGTTTAGTCATAAATTGTTTTGCATTTAATTGATTATCACTTAATGCTAATGTATCAACAGAACATCCTAAATAATGTAAACCACGTTCACATAAACGTGCTTCAAGTTCTTCAAAATAATATGTTTTATTTAATGATATAACAAGATCAATTTGTTTTGTATCAACATAATCTAATATATCTTTTTCTGTTTGAAATATATTTGATATTGTTATATTTGATTGATCAATTGTTATACCACTATTACCAGGTGATATTAAAATTTTAAAATTTCGTCGTTGTAATAATTTCCATACAAGTGCATGTTCACATGATGTTGAACCAAGTACAAGTATTGTTGCTGACATTGGTTGTACTAATGATGTACATGTTGAATATGCATCATTATCATCTGAACGTGCAAGTACACGTTCAAATACACGTATATCTGATGGTGCTGTATTAACATCATTATTTAATGATTTTGTAAATAATACACGATCAAATAATTTTTGTAATGTTTTAGAATATATTTTTGTTGATGATGATACAAATAGATTACCACCAAGTTCTTTTAAATGTAATAAACGTTTTGTTGGTACTTCAATAATTGGTTGTGTTATTATATCTTCAACACTGTTCAATTGTTCTTTGATTATTTCAGATGATAATTCAGTTTCATTATCAATAATTAAACCTGATTGTGTTTGAGCGACATTTGTTGACGACGATGACGAGTGGTTCTCACGTTGACGATAGGCGCCTGAAGATGATATCCGCGACCGCTTGTTGCCGCCACCCCGGTTGTTCGCCTGCGACATCTGATACAACTTTATGATTATATCGTTCAATATCAACTAGAATAGATAGTTAAATCATATAAGAAATCTATAATATCAATCTTTTCAATTAAAAAACATTAATAACATATCATAGTATACAATTTAAATCAAACATAATAAAGTATAAAATAAAGCTTTGTAGAACTTAATAGGCAAAAGGCAAGGTGCATGTTTTGTTTATTTACCTTTTCATGTCTGAAATATTGAATACCAATAGTAAATAAAGAAGAACCTCCAATATGACGAGATGTCGCCTATTTACCTCACCAATTAATTTTAAGCATGGCGCTAGTTTCATCATCGTTGTAATTGAACAACAATCATCCAATGCAAATTGTTTCAATACCTATGCAAAAAGAAAAATATTCTTTTCAATACCATTTTTCCATATATACATATGATAAAAGACTCAATAAAAGAAAAATGTTTTTATTTTCAAACTTCATTTTTTTTTCTCAAAATAGACTTCAGTCTCATAGCAAATTGCTAATGGTTTTCAAAAACATTGGAAAACTGATTCTCGAATTTCTGCTTTAAAATTAGACGTGAAACTTTTGCCAATAACTATGACTCTCATAATGGCATGTTTCTATGTCAATTTTCAAGTGAACTTTTGAATACCAACTATCATGGTTGCCCTGAGAGGGGGACTACAGCAATCCGTAGCTCAAGGTATTCACAATTCATTTAAGTTTCTGTTTTGCGCAAAGATTCGAATCAGAAACAATTGAGCATTTGTGGAGATTCCTTCGTCAGAAACATACTAATTATATTTTCTATCATTATAAGTAAATTACGTTATACACTACAGCAATCAATGATACACTAATCGAAAGATGAACATTTCATGCGAAGGATAATATGAATTAATTTTCTCTAACGAAAAAATATATTCAACTGTTATTTGCTGATCAAAGTGCTATTTCAACCGTTTTTTTCAAACTTTCGTACATAATTAGATCTGTTGATATAATCAAAAGCATCAGTCAAACAGATGGTTCCTTCTCGGAATATTGAATATTCAGAAAAAAGCCAACTTTACTTCAATATTCATTCTGTCGAAAAGAAACTATCTGTATTGGCCTAAACTTTTTGAATATTCCTACAATCACGAAGTCTACTTACGTACAAATTTTCAAATGAAAAATTGTTCTTTTTATTCTTTCTATGAAAAACTTGTGATAAGTCAGTGATTCTATAAAATAGTAATGACCTATAGAATACAACAGACTCCAAAGCGTTTTCCTGACAACAAGATTTGATCGATATATAAACTTTTTAGTGGACTTTCACTATACTTCCAAAATATGTATGTTTTATACAGTACCAATGAAAAATCATTTGAAGTTTGAAAAATGCAGGGTTCGAAGGCACTCAATCGAAAACTTATTCATTCTTCTCAGTAGTGGCGTAACTAGGATTTTGGCGGTGGTAGGAGTTAGCGTCGCTTAAATGTCTGGTGAATGGGCTCAGGAGAATGAGGTCTGTGGAGTGGTAGGGTTGATAACAGAATTTAGCTGACGAAGTTGACGTCGGTGCTTGGGCTCGAACACGCGGTGGCTGGGCGGAGCCCAACCTAGCCCTATCCTGGTTACGCCACTACTTCTCAGGATATTTTAGTTTATTGATCTCCTATATCCAACCAATGTTTTATTAAGTATAAAAATCGACCGACCGATGGTCTTTCAAAAGAGAGAATCTTAAAAAAAAGCATGTTTCAAATTCCTCGAATTTATTTATCAAAGACAGAAAAGAAAAACAATTCATTGAAATCGAATATTCGATCGTACACGATTTATACAATGTGCATAAACAGATATATCAGATGAGAGAAAAAAAATATTTTCAGTAACATCGTCTTGATACAAGACATTTCAAAAACAAAAAAATTTTTTTTTTTTTTAACTTCAATCTCTAAATAATTCAATAACAAAATTAAATGCAACATGTTCATATAATGGAAATGTTTGTTTAATAACAACTTGATAACAATTCATTATAAAATTACTTAAGACTAATTTTCCACGAGGTAATCGTAATTGATAACCCATTTGTTTACAATCAGGATTTGGTATACGTTCAATAATTGTTTGATTAATACCATCATATACATAAAGTGTTGCTTGTCGTGCACGTATTGTATTAAACGAACGAAATGCACGTTGACAAGTAAACCAAAATGATGCACAATCAGTTGAAAATTGTGCATTTGCTTGAAATATTAAACCTTTATATGTTAATTTATTATTTTTATAACCATTTAATATAATTATATGTCGATTTGAATCATAATATGATCGATCATCTATTTAAGAAAAAAAACAAATTTTTTTAATCAATTAAAATATGAATAAAAATTACAAACTATATATATGTTTAATTCCATAAATAAATTCATGTCGATTATTAATTAAACAAAGTGAACGTGCAAGAAATGCTTTTTTAAATTTTTCATTTAATTGTGATTTCGAAACTGATGATATTAAATGATGTTTTTCAACATCACCTGTTAATGATAATAATTTTGTACGTAATAATATTAATATTTTAATAAAATATTCATCAGGTAAACCAAGAAACATCATACCATTTAATAAATCATCATAAAATAATAATTGTTGTGGACTTTTTTGTAAATTTTCATCAGCATATAATAAATCAATACATGTTAATAATGTTTTTTCTGTAAAATTAAATGTACAATGATATTCATTTAAATAACATTGTTGACTTGAATCATATGTTGATTTTGGTTGATTATATTTAAAAAATAAACGAAAATATATTGATGATGCACTTAATACAAGACGATGACATAAAACAGATGATGATAAACCATTACATGTATAAATAAGACGACAATCACAACAATGTCGACTTGATAAATATGTACGAAGTTTTGAACTTAAACCAATTGACATTGATGATAAAGATATTTCTTTTCAAAAAAAAAAAGACAAAAATATTGAATTTTTTTTAATAATTAGAAAGAAAAATGAAATTTACCAAGATCTTCATCATCATGAAATAATATAGAATTATTATTATTATTATTTCGTTTTGTATTTATTGTTTGTGTTTTTGTATGAACAAATTGCATTTGTGATTTTGCTTTCTTTTTTTGTTTTTTTTTGTTTTTTATTTTTTTTGTTATGAAAATATACGGATGACCGATGACGTTCAATATGTATTGACCAGTCAGTTATGAGCTATTGCTTTCTTTTCTTTTTGTTTTTTTCTTTGTGTTACCGATAGATGACTTAATGGCAAGAGAGAACAGTTAAACATATTGTTTTAGATAGACGGCAAATAACGGGCTAACATGTATGCATAGATAAAATAGATAGAGAACAGCCGATATTATTGAAAAATAAGAAAAGAATTTTTAGTCCGTCGGTTATTTATTATCGTTTCTTTTTCTGTCTTCTTGCGATGTAGAGACAAGTTAATAACATACGGAAAGAAAAGATGATTGAATGATGTTTTTGTCATACAAAACAAAAATAATTTGATAGTTCAGTTGTATTGATGTCTACGGATTTATTTGTTATATTGAAATAGATTACAGTTAGATGTAAGAAACATTTTAAGCCAGGGGGCGGCGCGAGTACCCGCTCCTGCTTTTGAAAATTTTCGTTTTTTTGCTCAACTATTATCTCAAAATTTGATTTTGTTTTATATTTTCTCCCATTTTTCGAAAATACCCCCTCTCTTTCTTTGACCTCTTGGCGCCGCCCCTGTTTTAAGCACAATATGTTTCAAAAGTCTGTCGTAAAGGAAGAACAACAATGTGAATATCTTCTAATTAATTCAAATGATATATATATATTTGTTTTGGCATAGATTAAACATGTATCCAACTGTGCGTATATGGAGTAAATCATTAGTTAGCGATGTGACATTGCCAAATTAGAATACATGTATCTCCATATATTAAACATTCCTCAAACTAATTTTGATATGTTACATGTATGTCAATTTGGTCTAGATAGGTTCGAGAGACATTCGCTAATGACTTTTTTATTAATAGTCAGCTGATCTTTACCATATGTCTACGTTGACTGATATATCCTCGATATTCAAGTTGGTATTCCTTTCATAGAATATTTATGAGAGACGGAAGAAGAAAAATTTTAATTTAACAAATATCGAATAAATTGTATTATTGTACAACAGATAATCAATTATCATACTTAATATGAAAAGTAAACTTTTTGCAAAATGCTCATCATCATGTGGTACACGCTAAGGAAAGAAAAAGTGAAAACTGTGTACTTCAAGAGTGTGCTACGTGCATATTAGTGTGAATTCATTTTAAATATATTTCTTTCCTTAGTCATTATAAAATGTTTAATTTGTTACAACAGTCTGTCTCATTCCAGAAACGAGAGTAGAATGAACGATGGCTGAACATCTTCCGATGAAATCATGCAAGGAATAATTTATCTAATAATAATTTTACAGAAAAGATTTAGGATATGGGTGGAATCAATATTTACATCCACATCCTAGGTTTAGCATCACAATACATAAACAATTTGAATATTAAATAGTTCGCGCCTGATATATATTTAATCTTTTAGTAAATTGTTTATTGTATAAAAGAATATATCAAATGTAAATAAAAAAAACAAAAAACCTATTTTCTCAATTTCTAAAAACTGATGACTTCAACAAAGCATACTTCTCTTACAACAACAAAATATACTGGACATATTGAAGATAGTTCTATACTTCAAACATTCATTCGTACTGATCTATCAAATCAACGAATACCAGTAACACATCTTTTTATTGCTCATTATCATGCTTATCCATGTACAGTTGTAATTCAAGCTTCAACTAGTTTAGGTAAACTTCATGTTCCTACTATACGTCGTTATATTGAAAATGATCATAAACATAATTCAACAGAAGATATTATCAAACGTGAATATCATCCTATAATACGTTCTTTTTATATAACTGATTTTCTTGCT